GTCGCCAGAACAAGGCCATATGTTCTCAAAATCTCCCGTTTTTTTTTTTTTTTTTTTTTTTCATGACTCTATATCAAACCATCATACATTGTCCAGCAAATCATTGCTTTACATTTTTACTCAAACGCTTAGTCATGTTTCTGAACAGCTGATGCTTCTCTCAGCTCTGCTTTCCTGACCTTCCTGTCCAGTACAAGATCACAAAGGATCCATCCATCTACTAGCTTGGAGAAGGGGGCCAGGGGGGAGGGAAGTAGCTTGATTTGCCTTGTCTGTTTGTTTCTGTGGTCATACACAGCTTACTAGCGCACATAAAAGGGTGACTGCATATCACTCTGCTTGCAAAAGGAGTCACTTTAAAACAGGAAGTCAGGACCAGTGCTCAGGGAGCCAGCTGATCCTGCAGGAAACTAAAAGTTTTAAACTTCAAGAACAGCATTCATTGTAAGTTATTTCATCCGCATTTGAAATGGCTTAAAATCCTTTTGACTTTTTAATATCAATTTTAATTACATATACTGCCTCATTTTTAATGTGTGCTGTACAAGGCAAGGAAAAAGTTCTACTTTTTGCCCTCCTTAAATGCATAGCCCTAGTCCTAGTGAAGGTGCTTGGAAGCTAAAGAGAGACGAGAGAAAACAAGCTATACGATATTTGCAATTTGTTTTGCCGTAGAAAGGCAAGTATTAGTTAGGTTGTTCTATTGGAACCCCCTGTCAGGTTTTTACCGGGCTCTGTTATAGATTTGTCCTTGCTAACTTGGGTGTGGAGGGCTGTGTGACTCACTCCATATAACAAGGCAGGGCCAATCAGCGCTGTAACATGTGGAGTCCATAACCTTGTGTAAGATAGGACTCCAGCAACTCGTAACTTACACAGTACTGTTATTTAGCTCCCAGAGGAGTGGGGTAGAGAAAGGGATGTGGCTTTCACATGGCTCAAGAGGCTGCTTTTGGCATTAAAATCTGCAGTCATGTTCCCTGAGCACTGGTAGCAGAATTTCATTCCACTTAAAATATCTTTGCTTTGCTTTCCACCTTAAATCAGAAACCGCCAAAATTGATTTTAGGTCTGCTGGTCCTCCTTGCTGCTGCCAAAAAAAAAATGGGGGGGGACCCAAAGTAATTTTCTTATTTTAGGCCCACATAAATAAGTGTGTATATTCCTTAATTTTGTACTTGTATGCTGTTATTATTATCCAGCAAATTATTTTGTTTGTTTTATTCCAGCATCACATGCCATATTTTAGGAGACGAATGGTTTGGGAAATTCTTCATCAGAAACTCCTTTGACTGTGTCTGTAACTTTGTTTTGCCAGATATTTTGTAGAGGATTTACCTCCTCTTCTTGAAGCTAAACATGGACCAACAAATATACAGTATATTTTTTCACTTGTTTACAGAATAAACATAGCACTGTTATTTATGACGGCTGTCTCAAATGAATTGCCAAGTCGTGTGGATTTTTTAAAATATTTAATACCTAAAGGAGATTATTCTGTAGTTATATGTAAAGAAATTAAACTGGTTAAAAACTTTATATTATGTGGCTGAAAATATCTGGAGGCAGGCAAAAACTTTCAGGTGAATACAGGATATCCTTTGTCTGCACAGGCATTATTTGCCTTTAGATTCTATATGCTAGTACTGGTTAGAGTATTTTCAGCACAAATAGTTCATTCACTCAGAAATGACTTGTACATTGAAACAAAAACAAAACAAGTTTTCTAGAATTAAAGCTGCAAGCTATTGTTTTACACCAATATGTACTTAAATACAAGTAACTGCAAATGGTTTCTACTTTTTGTATATCTTAAGAACACACAGTGGAATTTACTGAAAACATAATGGAATGTGTGCATCATATTTGTACTGGACTATGTTAAAGTCATCTTTGTACATTTGTATTAGTGTCTTTCTGTTTCCAGCCTACCTCAGTTTATGGGCTCATCCAAGCTGGATATGGGCAAGAACTGCTACTGTGCAGTGTAAAATGACCAGCAGATTCGATATTGTGTTTTGAAGACTAAGACATATTTTGGCAAAATGCTATATATATATTTTTCCCCCTAATTTTAAGGGTGTCTTTTTGATTGTCTTGCTGGCTGCAAAAAAAGTTTTCTATACAAATGTCAAAACTATTTAAGTCATCTGATTTGTATCAGCCATCGGCTATTTACTTGACTTTTTATTTAAATAAACCTTTTTTTTTTTTTTGTTGGTAAATTGTGTAAATCTGCTTTTAATTTATTACAAGCGTGTTGTAGCCAATATGGGTTCACTTGCAGCATTCTGCTGTAAAAACTGTGTGGGGACAAATAGGGCTGGTGGTCCAGATACTAACATGTTGTTTTGTTTACCACACTGTTATGATAAACACCATGAGGGGAATTTATAAAAACTGGAGCAACAAAGATCTGGAGTAGCCATTAGTGGTAACCAATCAGCTTCTATTTTTCATCTTCACAGCTTAGCTGAACAAACTGAAGAGAGAAGCTGATTGGTTACTATAGGCAACTGCTCCAGATTCTGTCTTCAGTTTTGCTAAATTTCATCACATGACTTCTATCCAACATTTACAAGATAGATGATGTACAACAAGATAATATAGCTGTCCCTCTCTGCATATAGCCAGAAACAAAGTTTTACAAGCCTACACTATTATATATTTACCCCTAACTTGTTGAAGGAGTAAATGTGTGTAAAAGCCAGTAGAGAGAGAGAAAGGACCAGGAGGAGAGATGCCATCAGCACATAATAAAAGCTGGATGTAGTAGGAGATAAAGGGGAAAAACCATTTCAGATAAAAATGGCTCTCATTGGCTGTATTTTATCATAGCACGGATGTTTTACTATAAGTGTAAGGCTTTGCTCATATGAGTAAGTGTTAAGTAGGGTATACACAGTTAGAATATCATATGAAAGAAGTCGTTTTTGGAACGTTTGTTCAAATATCTATCGGGTTTTTTTTTGTGTGGTGTGTTTTTTTTTTTTTTAGTACTGTGCAATTGACAAAAACGACAGTGTTCCCAACATTTTTGGAAGGATAATGTATGTCGATCAAATGAACTTCCAACAGTGAATGTGGTTTTCATTCGGAAACTCCATTCATTCCAAAATACAATAAGTTAAAATGAAACAAAATTTCAAACAAAAATCAACAAGTTTCTGATGCCAGTATCAAACGTTCAAAACACGCATTTCATGTATATGCAATTGAAAGTGTTTTGTTTTTTTTGCATTGCATAAAATAAGGAAACATTTTTTTTCAGTATCTTGATAAAGGTTTTACTATTAAACAATTTTTTTGAATCACTATGCTTGAGCAAAGTCTCTCTGAAAAACTATTTTCAACCAAAGTTTCCCGAGAGAAATGTCAAGACTGTCATTACTATCTTAGTGTTCTGCAGTGACCTAAACAAAACACAGCTTGTGATTAATCGTAAGTAGAAATCCATAGAAAAATAAAAGGAAACCCCCCCCCCCCCAAAAAGGAAATTCCTACAAAGA